GCTAGTCGTTTAAGGCTTGTCCCTGAGCCCCGGTGGCCTAATGGATAAGGCCCTGGCCTCCTAAGCCAGGGATTGTGGGTTCGAGTCCCATCTGGGGTGTGGGATGAGCAGAGTGGCGCAGCGGGAGCGTGCTGGGCCCATAACCCAGAGGTCGATGGATCGAAACCATCCTCTGCTAAGTACTGCCTGCCTTATGCCTGAAATGGCCACTATTCTGTTGATTTTGAACATAGATAAATATTAGTCATCCTTCCACGTGAATGAGAGTAAGGCTATGTCCAATGGCGTTTGAATTTAGAGCATGTGCCGTTTTCACAGAGTGGCGCAGCGGAAGCATGCTGGTCCCATAACCCAGAGGTCGAACGACCGAATCCATCCTCTGTAAAGTCATGCATGTGGTCAGCAGAGACACAAAGTAGAATGCCTCCAACACAAAGATGGCCAACATTCCATTGATTGAGAGCGCAGATAAGTGTGAGTCATGCTTCAGAGTGAATGACAGTAAGTATGTGCCATTTTCTGAGTTATTGAACTTCATCAGGTCCATGCAAATTCCGACTGTGCCGTCAGCCTTTGGCACCACCACCATTTCAGCACACCAGTGCCTTGGCATCTACCCTCTTGAAATCACTCCTAGCAGCTCCATCCCGGCCAACTGTTTCACTTCGGACATAAGATGAAGGGATATTCGCCTTGGACTGGAAAGGGTGAATGGCTTTGTGTCTGGCTGCAAAACAATCTTCTATTCAGCCATTATCTTTCCTAGTCCCTTGAAAAGCTTGGGGAACTCTTGTTTTACAAGTGTAAGTGCGTTTACACCTGGATGTCCAACCAAAGGAGTTCTAAGACCTGCCACTACATACACGTCCTGAGTAGTTCACTTGCTGTTTTTGTTAAGAACAGCAGTGATTTTATCTTAAGAACAGTACTGACTGTGTAGCCAAGTTCTGCTGGCTTAAAACTCTTGTCCCCTTAAACTCAACTGCCTGGTACTGGGCCAGCATACCTTTACAATCATTTGGGGACTTCCCATTTAAAAACTCCTGAATGCATCTGCATAAACAATATTCCGTTTGATACCTACAGACCTAAACTTTACATCACATGAAATTAATCTAACCATGTCCTAATGACTAAAGTTTGGTTTGCACAAAAAAACAGGTGTCCTTTTTAAAAAAAAAGTGTAAAAAATTCTAAAACATTTCAGCTAGTCATGAAAGGTCTTGACAAGCTATTTATATTTAGCCCAACACTTCTGCCCTTTGAGCATGTACATGCGAGTTAAATCCCAACACATCCGCTCCTTGCACTATTCCATGCCGTAATCATCTCTATTGCTGCATTCATGGTGCTTTTAAGTGGTTATTTGCAAGTTGTAATAACTTCATTTCCCACTTCAGCACATTTGACCTGCAAAGTGGGAAAAAAACATGGACACTGCCTTGAAAGCATGTCTTTTGTTTGCTCTGTCAGAGCATGTGAAACTCAAAAAACGCCACTTTAACCACACTTTTACACTTACAGGCCCGAGTGGCTATTGGTACAGTTCTGCTACTGTATAATGGACTTCAGACAACAGTGGACAATAGTAAGCAACATTAGCAACAAGCTAGCCAGTGTTCTAACGATTCATCCTGCCCTACCTGTCGTTCATTTATCCAATACCCCAGTAAACATGCCCACATTGGCCCTTTACAGGCAAGTTTTGGGCAACGTGGGCCAGGGCTAACCCATACAAATCCCACAATGGCCCAACATGGGTTTTCTGTGGGCAACGCACACTATGGCATGCCCACAAGAATCCCATGTTGGGCCACATTGGGCCAATACCTATTTTACCTGCATTGTTCCAATGCCGGTTTTCTGTGAGCAGCCCACACTTTGGCATGCCCACATGAATCCCATGCGGGAAAACTGTGGGCTAGCCCACATTGGGCCATTACCTATTTTATCCACATTGGCCCAAGGAGGGTTTTCTGTGCCCACATTTTCTTCTTATAGGATTTACTTGAGGCAAAAGAATATGCAGTGTACCACACAAAATTCACAACAAAAATACATGTGATTGACAGGAGTTTCAGAACAATTGTAACGCAGCCTTGGAGGCAATGGATTAGGTATGGTTCTGCTCCCAGCATTTGTTTCCTTTCAGAGCGATGTCACCGTCAGGGTAAAAATAGGCTTTTCAACAACACTGAAGACAGCAATAGCACACTAGAAGTGGAATGTGGATAACAGAAAAGGTGACAGTTTTTACCTTCTTTAACTTGAGACTAAAGGTCAGTTACTGTGGAATATTGTAATTTTATTATGCAGCAATAATATACATAACTGCTACTTCTGTCAGCTTGCTGGCAGATAGCCTAAATCTGAACAATTATTAAAGACTACTTTAGTACAGTTACTGTGTGTAGAATGCATCGATTATCAATAAAGTATGTTCGTAGTTTAAAACTGTTGTAATATTAAGTGAACTATAATCAAAATTGTCACTGTGATTCTGTTAGCATAGCCTGATTAATTGATTGATTAACTTGATTGTGGAGAGCAGAGTGACCATGAAATGTCAATCATAAATATTAGGATTATTTTTAATCCTCATTTTTATTTTTAACCAAATGCTGAGTTTCCTCCCTTGAGATTCTTTGCCAGGCCTTTACTGCAGCTACCTTCAGTTGCTGCTTATTTGTAGGTCTTTCTGTGTTCAGTTTTGGCTTAAGTAAATGAAAAGCATGCTCAATTGGGTTGAGGTCATTGGACATTTAAGAACATTTCATTTCTTTGCCTTAACAAGCTCTTGGGTTGCTTTCGCGGTATGTTTTTGGTCATTATCCATCTGTATTGTGAAGTGCCATCCTATCAGTTTTGCAGCATTTGACAGAATCTGTGCGGAAAGTATAGCTCTATACCCTTCAGAATTCATCCTGCTACTTCTATTAGCAGTCACATCATCAATAAACACCAATGAGCCAGTTCAATTGGCAGCCATACATGCCCATGCATTTTTTCAATCTTTACTGATGCTCAGTGGTGGAGTGTGGAAGTGACAGAAAAGTCCATAAAATCACTGAAACTCTTGAGGGGTACTATAAAAATGAGTTAATTTACATGGCACAAGGCAAACTGTCTATCCTTGTGTGAACAGGACATTTACACACATATTCTTTTTGAATATGCATTTTTTTTTAGGTTCATTATATTTTGGATTTATTTTTAGACACATCACTATATAAGATTGTCCTTTTTTGAAATAATTCTGTGCAATTTCAGCATATTGTATGATTACATCTTGAATGATTAGTACATAATGTACATTAGATTCAAACAATACAGCAAGCAGTTTAATTTCAATTAAAACATGAATAATGGAATATTAAAGTGGTGCTATCTATCATATCATTGAACAATTTCTCATTTTTGCTCCAAAATTTGTGAATTAAGAAACAATCATCAGAATGCCTGTGAAATGTAGAGAAAGAAGGATTCCCTTCCTCAGTCTAAACCACTTCAATTGAAAACAGCCACTTCAGATGAAACTCCACTGATATTATGCATTAATTTAGATTGCTGCAATCAAAGACTTTTTCTTGGTTATAACTGAAACACTAAAACACCAATTTCTTTGCCTTCTCCCAGGGAAATTCCTCTCTTCCAAAATGTCCAAAGCTGGCAGTTTTCTGAAAAATGGGCTTTTTCAGACCAAGCTGTCTGTAAAAGAATGAGGGATGATGAGAGCATCATAACAATCCTTAAGAACATGTACACTGTACTATTTTAAAGTCTGCACTTAATTTAGTCTTAATTCTACTTACTTGACGATTACCCCTGGTCTTAAGTCAAAATTCTTCTGAACAATTTCCAGAAGCTCATCTTCATCCCTGGTGGATGTCCCATAATGGAAAATTGAGATTGACAAAGGATGGCTTATGCCAATGGCATATGAGATCTATGAACAAAAGGAATTTGTGTTCAGAGCATATATATAAAAGTACATATATATATATACACTGTCATATAAAAGTATTTTTACAACCAATTAAAAACCTCTCCTTACTTTACACCTGTACATCTTTACCAACATGATAGAGCAGAGTTCTTCAAATCTGGCCCTCGAGGTCCACTGCCCTGCAGAGTTTAGCTCCAACCCTAATCAAACACACCTGAACAAGCTAACCAAGGTCTTCAGGATTATTAGAAAATTACAGGCAGGTGAGTTTGGAGGTTGGAGCTAAACTCTGCAGAAGAACCCTGTGATTGATCATGCTTCACTGTTGCCGATATCAAATGTAGTAATATTTTAGACCTCACTGACAAGCATAAGCTACTGTATGCCAAATATAAACACAATTGCTGTAAAATACTGTTCATTTTTATTATTTGTTATGTTTATATTACATCTTATGGACATGCTTATATTACATCTGTTCATTTCTCAAATGCATGAATAAAGTAGGCTTTTCCCCAGATTTCTACTAGCCTTAGCTCTGT